CACCAAATGAAGTCCAAGCCCCACAGATATCCAGAAAAGAGCAATTAAACTCTACAAGAGCCTGCAGGAGAAAAATCCAATACTAGCACATTCCTATTTAGGTAAAGTACCCTGTGACAGAGTATTGCACATCCAACAAGGATGTGTACTCAGCAAAGTTGAATTCACACAACATATACGCGCAACCATTGTGTATAAACAACAAGCATATCATCAATCTTGACTGTTATCACTTGCAACTTAGGGTATGCTTAGATGCACAGCTTAACACTCTTCTCAAGGCCACAGAATTGCCTCAATACAGCCAACGTTACCTGCCTAAAAAAAGTGTCTAATTTGCTTACAACAGGGCTTCAGAGATCTTCAGATCCGTGTTCATGGACAAAGCATTGACATTTGGTGTAACACTGGGTGGACTGAAAAAGCAAGCAGGTTTAAAGCCTGGTCCAGTAGTACTTCTGTAACATGCTGTTCTCAGGTGAAAACCACACTCAGGAATTAATTTACAAGAAGAAACCATTCCGTGAAGCTATCCTATCCAAACTAGCAACAAATTAAATACATTATCTTCACAAAGTTTTATGGAAGCCTGTTATCCTTTCCAGCACGCATGTTTAATTTACAACTACTGACCAACATCTTCTCCTAATCCACAATTCAAGTTAAATGCAACAAAGCAAAGATTATCAACTTCCAAAACCTTTGTTCCAGGCACATGTAAGATCCTCAACTAACATCATCTTGACATTTATTCTTATTAAAATTCCACATACAAAGTTGCTGCTGAGATTGACCATGGGATTAGGATCATGCTGCCTTCAAACTTCTTTAAGCATCTGCTGGAGGGCACAGCATGATTCTCAATGTTTTTTATATTCCTAATATTTATATTTTATATTCCCAATAATCTCTCAGAATGTACTAGAAACAATCTAATGAATGTTAGAATGAACAGGGAGAAGGATGACATTTCTGCAATCTTATTTTTTTGAAAAGTCTTCAGAAATCCAGAATATTTATTGAGATTTTTTTATTATTATTATTTCTGGGTAGAGACAGCTTTGACTGATTGACTCAATACGTCAATTAGTAGAGAACTGGTTTCACACACAAGAAAAAGTCTCATGTCATGTGGATTAGCTTAATGGACAGAAAGCCACATGGGGTGTACATTTTTAATCTACTTCAAAAGGGAAAGTGATTGATGAAATGCTGTATAATATGTCCATACAGTTATGCCCTACGCTGACAAAATTAAGGTGTCAGTAGTTAGATGAGAACAGCTTGTGGATGAAGAACAACACATTGATGCTGAATCAAGAAAAGACTAAAACGAGCAGAGAAAAGCACTTGCTGAAGTTTCAATCCCCAGCGTTGTCATCTTCGGTGCGAATAATAACTCTTATATTGTCAGTCAGCAGATTTCCATGTCACACTGCTTTTCCCTTGACTTCTCATCAAGCAAATCATCAGGCTTACGGTGCTTTTATTTAGGCTCAGTTTTTAAAAATAGGTTCCAAAACCTTCAGGAGGAGAATCGCTGCTGACAACTTTTGCCTAAACTACAGAATAACTTTTGTGATTCAGGTAAGAGATTATCTGTGCAACATATTGAGCATTCTTGTGAGCTAGTTAGAATATTGAAAGGACTCCCACAGAAACCAGCTGGCTGCTGTCATGAACCTCATCACCGTTCGAAGTGCACTGAATTACCACAGGTCATTTTGGGGAAAATAAACACACTTAACAGAGAAAAAGAAGAAAAATATAAGTGATACGGTTGGCACAGAATTCTTCCAGTTAATTATGTCTGAACTGTTACCCAAATTTCAAAATATGCATTTATGAAATTTACTATACTGACTTTTAAACAGCTTTCTGTTTCATGTACAGTGGGAAACAAACACTTGGACTTATGTTGATTTACAAAACCATTGTTTGTGTTCCACTCCAGCCTATAGAGATTATTCGCTTAGGCCTCCATCATGACATTTGAGTACAGAGTTTTGTGCAAACTTGCTGAGTCACACTTGCTCAGAGTTTGTCTCTGCATGTGGTAAAAAATACACACAATTGCATACAAGACCACTGCTCACTAATGGTTCTCCTTCGAACACTTTACATCATTTTCCCTTGACTTTCGCATACTTGGCAATATATATAATATAATCAGTCACCATAGAAATGAATGTTCTCAGAAACTTCCTTGAGTTTCAAAAATCAATTACTCAATCTTCGTTCAAGACACAAATAAAAAGACAAATCAAACATGAAGTAAAACCTAGAATAGGCACATTTTTTTTTCTCGTGTTGAGAAAGAACCTGAAATGCTACTCTTAAACTCTTCTTAATTTACAGAATTTTAATTGCAGCTAAATAAAATCAGATCTGAACTGAAAACTTACTGGTTTTGCTTGCTTAAAACAACTTCACTTTTTATTAAATTCACCGCATCTCATTTCTGATCAGAAAGTTTAAGGCACTGTCACAGAATGAAAAAAATACATCCTCTCCATAAGGTGATGGCTTCCCCCCTGCCTCGTTCATAAAACACTGCCTGTAACCAGCTTTATCTAAATGAGCAATCTAGGCTTCAGAGATCAGGCTAAAAAACACATTTCTCTCCGGTAAGAGAGTCTCCTATTAGCTGCTGTCACACTTTAATATTGATCTGGAACCTTGAACATGTCTTGCTTCAACTTTTTTAAAGGCACTAAGTTCCACTGGGTGTTGGCATTTATATTCATAGATTCCAGTCATGCTCAGCTAGCAGCAATTAGAAGACATCCCTCGAGTAACAGCATTTCTAAAAATATTCTGTATGCATCACAGAAGATGAAGTACCCCTTTCCTCTAAAGTAATGTAAGCTGTACATTCAAGTATAATTAGCACACTAGACTTCGTAAATAGTATTAAACTAATTACAGTTTGCACCACTAGTGGCAGATGTGGTTAGAGATTATTAATTACAGTGGACAATTTTGAATTTAACATACCAAATTGAAAGCATTTTTTCCACTTTATTTTGTGTCTGAATGGCTATTTGCTGAGCGACTGGAGGACTTTTAAGCCAGGAGGAGCTGCTATTTACAAAAATGAACAAAGCAATAGGTTTTATTTTCTCAAATGAAGAAAAAAAATTGTTCATTGACAAGGACATAGTTATTTTTTAAAGAATAAATTTCAATACAGACTTACCGTGAATCAGGAAACTTATTCTACTTAAGTGCTACATCACTGGAAAGGCAGGCTGTTTTATCTACATCTACATGAGCTTATTGGAGCTGTTCAGATGGACTTTATAGCAACATCTGAAACTTTCAACACGTGTGATGAAGTAAACTGCTCCTCAAAAATCTAGATCTGTAAATAAAACTCACCTATCTCTAGGCCAAGGGTTACTTAAAATAGAGCAGGACAGTCATTCCCTAGCTTCAGTATAATTTTCTGCTGAATGTTATCATGGGAGTAGGAGAGATAAGTTGTAAAAAGGAGCTGTCTCTCCTTGATTTTTTCTAGGTATAAAGTAAATAAATACAAGTAATAAAGTTTAAATAGCAACTAATGGAATACACTCAGAAAAGGTGCTGCAGTTTTAGTAAATGCTGACAGACTTCCATTAAAAAAACAGCACATTTTTCCATCAATACAAGTCACACTGATAACCCGTAAAACACACAGAAGTTAAACAATTATTTTTAAAAATAAAGGTGGTTCCAGACATATATGTTATAATGCAGCAAATTTCGGGCTGACAGACATGTAGGAAAATATCAGTAGGCATTCATACCTCATCTACATTTAACTTCTTTTTATAGAACACTCTTTTCCATATTAAAGTTAATTAAACTGCTTCATTCTGTATTATATGCTCACTACTAATTGGTTAGATTTTTGTGGATAAGATGCATTGATTCAAATAATACTCTTCATAGGTTGTGAGAACTAATGAAAATAAACACTATGTTATTTGAATTTAAATTTTTTTCAATTTTAATGTTTTAACTTAATTATGCTTTACTAGCTAAGCATTCAATTAACATGCACACTAAACAGGATGCAACACCTAAAAATATTTCATTTCTATGGTCAGCCTTTCTTCTCCAGCACAATCCCTAGGATCGCTCCTTCTTAATAGCACAACTTGCTAAAACAAAGCTGCCAGTCAAGCTGACTTAAGTGCTATACTCAGTGTGCCTTTAACCTGATTTCAGTACAGACACACAAATTTCAATTTAAATTAAATGCCCATTCCAATTATACTTTCAGTGAGAACTCACAGACAAATGGGACAAGTTACAAGGATTTGTCAGTCACTAAATCAAGCCCTTTAATTTCCCTCTTTGCTGACAATTATTTTCCAACACAATTCTGGTTTTAACCAGCCTATTTGAAAGCTCAAAGTAATCAATCAAACAAAAAATTTTGAACAAAACATATCCTTAGTGTCAGGCAAGGCTTAAAGCACATGGATTTTATTATTCCAATGCAATTTGCAAACACTTAAGCTTAAAGATATTAAAAAAAAAGCACACATGACAACGATAACTCACGTAATTGCTACAAACTGTTACTCTTGTTAATTTCAGCAAGAATAGAATTCATGAAGTGGAATAGTCAACTCTCAAGCTGGTCTTTCCAAGCTATCTTGAGAGTTCAACAGCAAACTAAGTGGGAAAAATTTACACTGATGTGTAACAAAATCCTTGCTTATGGAATCAGGTACAATGTTTATTTGAAAATAATTTTAAGAAGTGCTATTTCTAAATCTTAAGCAAATATCCTCCTTATTCTCTGTAATTTCTACACACAGTAAACCAAGTTTGAATGTCTTAGATTTTGAGAAAATAAATCTCTTTATATTTTTTTTTTCTGTCAAGTAGAACCACAATACAATTTAAGTGGTAATTCGAACAGCTTCTAAATCCTCAAAATATTTCATTTATCAATGGGATTTGGCCAATTACCCTGCAACTATTTAATCTGTTGCCAGACTTACAGTCAAGTGATGGATTGTCAACAAGGCAGGATGCAATGTTATTGCTTCAAACGTTGATAAAGTACTCTTAATCAGTTCTTCTGATGCAGCTGGACCTATTAGTAAAAACCATTACATTTATTTAAAAAATGCAACCTCTATGCAGTGCCTACATGTAAAAGTGCAAGTAATACCATGGGTTAACTTACCTATTGCTCCATCCAAATTAGTTTCTCCTGACTCTATCGATCTAATAAAATTCTACAGAAAAAAAGCATTTATTTCAAAACATGGCAGAAACAAAAATTAAGAGGCATAATCACTGAATAATTGCAAAATGAAATTTGAAGGATTGAGTAAATACAAAATACTGATGCACCTGCAGTTCTGATAATAATTTAGATATGAAAGACAACTTGTTCATAATCTGGCAATTATAAAATAGTTTTGCAAGTCTTTAATGCTGCTGGACAGTTAAACATAGAGTACAGTAAGGGTCATTACTTTGACTTATGTAAGGAATGACAGCATTTCTAGCTAAATAGGCAGTAATTAAATGTCTTACTTTATTGTTAACAGAAAACTGTACTTTCTAAAAAGCTTTTGAACTACCTTAGATATGGCTATGCTAAAATAACTCACTAAAAAGACCAAAGATTCTCCTAGAAAATGCAATTTTCTGTTATTTGGACATCTTTTTGATCTCTATGGCTGCTATGCTTACTACTTACAAGATAGACTTGCACGCATACAAAACATACAAAAAGGCACAGTCTTCTACGAAGTATCATCTAAATAACTCATCATTCAGGAACAGGAACAATGAAGTATGAATAATCTTAGATAAGTATATATTGTACAAGTACACCTGCTATTCTTTTGCCTTTTAATCTTGATTTCATTCTCTATCTTCTACTTTTATGCATAGCTATCTATTTAACAGGAGATAAAAAAGGCACATTAATGACACTTGCTAGAGAAAGAAAAATATCAGCGGAATTTATCATGTTTTTAATTACTTACACAGTATTTAATATAGAGTGAATGCATTATGTGGATACATGACAATACAATGGATAACACCTTTCCAATTTTCAATGTACAAACATATCTCTGTATGGTTACGTGATGTAAAACATCAAGAAAATGTTCATTCTGAACCACTTATTTCATACTGCACAATCAATTAAAACTTTGTTGTTACATATTAGAACAGCAGAAATGCCTATATGGGTTACTTTTCCTCTCTGTGTAACAGACATCTAAAGGATTCATCTCTGATTAGAAATTCTGATAGAAGTTAACTGTATATTTCATAATATAAAAGTACCTCAGGAGCGATAAAAAGAATTGCTTCTATAAAACAGCAGGCGTTTTATCTTCCTAATCATTTGAAAAAAGTATCAGTTATGATCTAATTAATTTGTTTTGGAAGAGAGCAAATTACATTGTTTGTTCATTTAAGGCCACTTCATTTACAAGCATAATATTAAGACCAATCTGAAAAAAATCAACACATTTGGTGCAAAAATTGTTTTGGCTACTTTTGCTTATTTCCTTAATTTTCTATTACGAATTTAAGACCAAGAAGAAGGTGCATTTATGTATCATTTGTTGTTTTTTTGAGCAATGGAGGGGAACTGTGCGTATTCTATGACAAGCAAGTCTCCCCAGTGCATTCCACTGGGAGCCTACTATTAGGTGAGGCTTTGGGGCAGAGCAAGTCTCTTCCGTGTCTTTCTATTTACAGCTGAAAACATGAAAGAACTGTCCCAACTCCTTCTCAATTTCTTTTCATGGGAGCACTGAGAATTACAGTGATGATAGAAATAACTTCAAAGCAGTAAGAAAAAAGATATTTCTCAATGAACAACAGTTACAGGAAAATCAATACTTTTTTCCTTCCAAATACCAAGTACACATCTTTCCACTCCTAATCGTTTCTCATTGTAATGAGTAAGATTGTGGAATAAATTAGGAAAACAAAAAACAAAACTTGAAGGACTAGCTTGCTCAAGATTTAGAGGCCTCACATAAAACACAGTACTTTAAAAAAGTACATGCTGAAGATCCAATGTCCTTTTACGGATGTCAGTGGGAATGTTGGTAAGCAAAATTCCAGAGTAGACTGCTCCCTGGTAGAATGGATAGTTACTCTCTCAGAATTAATTACACAATTATATAAAATAGACTGCTCTCATATATGTTTTTCAGTTGTATTACTTCCCCACGATTTTTATGCATAAATTGAAATAGCATATTTAAGCTCCTGAATTGCCTACTTTGATGGAGACAAGACACAGGAAACAGTCCATCAAGTAATTTTCTTCTCCTTGATCTGAGAGGAGAGCTGTATGAACATGATTAGCCTAATTTCCTTAGTCAGTTGTTCAAGCAATTTGAAGAAATGTCAGCAGAAAACTTATGTTGTGCTTGGTCTACTGTACCTGTACTGCTGACAAAGAAATTTCACCTTCTAAAAGGTTGATACAAAATCATTAATAAATCTACTTGCTATTTACAAGCGCTTCATAGTGACAAAAGATTTTCTAATTCAGTTTCTACATTTTTTTATTTTATTCCAATGCGAATTTTTCTATAAGAAGTTTCTCACTGATCATGAGTCCTAATGTAAACCCATATGTTCTTGGAAACAAAAGAGAAAGAGAAGTGAACATGAATAGTAAAATTTTACTTAGCTGTTTATGGTGAAGCATTTCTTCTGCATGCAATTGTGGAAGTCAATATATAGCTGTCCTTTAAGAATGTGTGCACTTAAAAGCATTTTATTTTTATTTTTTAAACTCTGATATGCAGCTTTAGAAATTGGCTTCTTCCTCATTCAGCAGAAATAACTGCTTTATATACAGAAATTACATTACAATTGTACTACTTCATTTTAACTGTATTACCTTATGGGACAGTTAAAAGTTCATTTTCCATCACTAATGTCATAAATAATTTATAGATTTACAAGACTAATTTCTCTGTAGCTTGTAATACTCAGCTTTTTATCAACTAAATACAGAGAAAAAGTACAGGCAACCTTAATTTATGTCTCATTTCTAGTCCTGGTTTCAGCAAAATTTCTAGAAATAATATTGTGTGCAATTCAGAGATAAATCTACTGTAAAATAAAGCACACAGAAAATTTTCTATATATCAGAGATACAGAGCCAGATACATATTTTCCCTTCAATTCACTAGATTACTAAAGAAGACATTTTCTATATGTTTATAGAATACATACATCAAATATATATATTTGATAATATATGTAACTTTCAATAAAAGAGAACAGAAGAGATTTGAACAGAACAGTTCATTTAGAAGGGACCTATAAAGATCACTGAGTCCAACTGCTCGACCACTTGAGGGCTAACCAAAATCTACAGGCATGTTAAGGAGGGCATTCTCCAGAAGTCTCATGAGCACCAACAGACGTGGTGCACCAGCCACCCCTGCAGGGAGCCTGCTCCAGTGCTCTCACAGGACAGAAATGTTTATAATATCCAGTTTGAGCCTCCCCTGGTGCAGCTCTGTGCCATTGTGGCACAAGCTGCTACTGGTTCTCAAGAGCAGAGCCAGCACATCCCTCTGCATCCTCCTCATGGAGCTGCAGAGAGCAGTGAGGTTGCCTTTCTCTGCAACCCAAGTGCCATCAGCCCCTCCTCAGAGGATACACCTTCCAGTTCTGCCACAGAACCATAGAACTCATCAGCTTTGTCACACTCCTGCGGATTTATTCAAGTACTTTAACATATTTCTTATATTGTGGAGCTCAGAACACAAGATGCAAGATGAGACTGCATCAATGCTAAATACAGTGGGAGTATCACCTGTTTTTGCCAGCTGGCTGTGCTGTGTTTAGTGCACCACAAAATGTGGATTGCCTTCTTGGCTGCCAGGGCACACTGCCTGCTCATGTTGAACCTGCTGTCGCCAGCATCCCAGGTCCCTTTCTACTAAGAATCTTGTTCTCCAACCTATATCTGTGTCTGGCATTGCTCTGTCCCAGATGGAGAGCCCAGAACTTAACTTCATTGAATGTCACGCCATTGAAGACTGCTCAAAATCAAAACTAAACATATGTATTCAGAATAACGATGTCTCTCCAATGTATAAATCTAAGGTAATTTCTGTGCATTAAAATCCCAAATTTTTATGCATATGTATTTTTTGCAAACACCATTTAATTTGGATGTTCATACTCACAAGTAAGGTCCCATAGTTGAAAAGAAACTCCTCTGTGACAATGAGAGGACGAAATACCTATTTGAATTTAGCAAAAGTTTAAAAAGTTAGAGTAAAGAGCACTTCACAGTCATGTTGGCAAAGAAGGCAATATATGCATTTGCTTTTATCATTAGAGTTATCTTACAATACACAAAAACAAGGTCAGATTTTTAACACAGCTACTTAGCTGAAATACTCAACAATAAAATTACACATTAAGCTCTATTTCATCCATGCTGATTTTAATCAACAGAAGTTAGATTCTCAGAAACCGAAGGAGTTTGGGGAAAAAAATCTACCTGGGATGTCACAAGATGAAGCACTACAGGCATCATGGGAAGGCACATCTTCAGCTGTTTGGCCTGAACTGTTGATGGGTGTTTGCGTCCAGAGACATTAGTTAAGGTGTTGAGAATGTCACCTACAGAAAACAACATTTCAGATTGATCTAACGTAATTGATTTACTCAACAGAAAATGACAAATGAAGTACTTCTGTTCCAGTATATCTCTGCAAGCCTATCTTCTCTCTCCTGATGAAATCTGTGTTCATGTGCATGATGATAAAAATCAGGCTGATCCAACACTGTTATTTCCTATTTAGTATTCAAACAGGTCAATCTCCTGCTCCTGCTACAAGGATAGGCACATAAATGCTACTTCTGGCAAAATGCTGAAGCTAGAAATATGAGGCAGGAGTAGAAACAAAAGTGAAATTACTCCTCTCAGCAATGGCACTTATACTGGCCTTCAGTGATTATATCAGCATGGAATTACACTGTTGAAATGCTATCAGTACAATTTAATTCCAGTGAAATCAAAGGCAAAATTCTCACATCTTCCAGCTGACCAAGAGCTTCACCTAAGTCAGTGACATAATGCATCTTTTTCCTGCAGCAATAGTACTACCAGAAGAAAGAAACAAGCAAGCTCCTCTGCTTCCTAAAAAGCCCTCAACTAGCTGTGAATTCGTACACGGGGTTTAAATAATGATGTAAGTTACCTGAAGCAACAGAACTTTTCATCTTCTGATAGAAAGAGTTAGCAGCAGGTCAGTGACAGAACGTGGTCCATAACAAAAGACAGACATAACAATAAGGAAACAAAATTCTAATTTGAATAGTGAAAACTGTACTTCACACTTCAGAGAAGACATGAAAAATCATGCTTCCTTTGTGCTACATTATTGTTCTAGAAATCCAAGACTACTTCTGCATGGAGTAAAAAATAGGGGGGAAAAAAGAGAAAAGTCATAGCTTATATGTAAAGAAAGAAAATCCAATCGTTTTTGACTGAAAATTCTGTAAGTCAAACCCTGTCCCGAAAATGCACCTCCTATATGTCTTCCCTAACAAGAGAACTACACAGAACTGTAAACAGGGAATCACATACATATGAAACAAATAAAGGACATGATTCAGTATTTTAGACAATTTTCATGCCAGGCCAGGCCCTTCCTTTGAAAGTAAGTAGCAGTTTTCTCACATTGAAAAATAACAATGCTTTTCCTCTTCTTCCCTGGAGTCTAATTTTCAACACAAGCAATTAAATTTGGTTGTAACAACACTTAGCCTTAACCCTGAAGATTTGAATCATTCTATAATATAACACTCATGAAAGTGTTGCCTAAACTCCAAATATGTAAAACGAAACGTTGTTTCACCAATGCATTTTTAATGAATTGCAAAATTGGAATTAACAGACATCTCTGTGGTTACCAATAAATAGTCACTGAACACTTCACTCTGTATGTTTTAATGTCTGTGTATTCACCAGATTTATCAGTTTCAATAAATAGGCATAGCTATTTTAATTCTTAGTTTGACATAAGCAAATTACATTTATCTTCTAGAAATAGGTTAAATACCATAAATACCAAAATAAATTTACTCCCATACCTACAACAGCTGAAAACTTAATAAATAAATAAATAAATAAATAAATCATCAGATTATCCTTTTATTTCATTTATTTCAATGTATCTCTAATGGCAGTTTCTACAATTTGTCAATCTATTCGGTTTATAGCTACCTCTGGTGGAAGAAGATGGTATCAGTAAGAAGCTTAAGTAAATGCATATTAAAAACTAGCTAGGATTAATTCTAAATCAACGGTTTAACTGCTTTTAACTGCTCCACTTTACAGATCTTGTCATTTTTCTTAGGAGATCATAATTTTTATCTCTTCAAGCAGAACAGGATCCTTCATTATACTCTCAAAAATAGAAAGCAAAAGCCTTTGACAGATATGGACAGATATCTTAATAAAAACAATCAAAACACAAATCTAGATTGAAAAGGCAATTTTAATGTAAAATTAAGCTTGAGATATCAATTTTCCAAACAATCAAACAATGCATTAATTTTCTACATCAGTACTAGGAAAAAAAAAAAAAAGAAAGAAAGAAAAAAAGCAGCAGAAGCCCTGTTAAAGAAATAGATGCATTATTTTTTAATAATAACAGTAACTATATATTTGATTTATATCACTTTTCAGGTACTGAGACTTCCAAATCCTACAATGTACTCAACATTTGAACCTGGTATTTAGTTTGAATCAGCTGTTTGGAACAGGGCAAAAAGTTGCATTGACACAGGAATTAGTTTCTTTTAAAATAGCAACATGACCTTTGCAGTTTCACCATTTCATTTTCAATATTCTGGCAATAACATAGATGATGAAAAATAGATCATCAATCATCACACAGAAAAATAAATTTATGCTTTTTTTTTTTCCCCTACTATTTAAAGACAAGCCATAAACATTCAGGGTTGGTTCAGCTCCATTTCTCTTGAAGACTTTCCGCATTCCTTCCTCGTCTTGCTATTTATCTTTCTTACTCCGTTCTGTGGGAGATCTCACCCACCAGAAGCTTTTATAAGCATTTTAATACCTATGATTCAGACTAGCCACATCAATCTCATATTTTCTCCTTCCTTCTTTCCTTTTCCCTCTTTCCTTCTCTTTATCCTTCCCACAGAAATTTTCCTGACATTCCCTGAAGTTTAAGTTTTTAAAACATACTCGTAGATACGCTGTTACATCTCCCCTTGCTCTGTACTATATAAAGCAAGTCTGCTTTTAGGTTTCCAATCATTGGAATACCATTAGAACATCAATAAAACTTCTTGTACAATTGGGCCCCTTTCCTGACTGAGTGGAATCTCACAGTCCAGGCTGCGATGCAAAATATCTGATCATGACAAAGCCAAGAAAATTCATGAAGTTGATAACATGCAAACTTCATATAATCAGAAAACACAATCTTTCCATCTGTATATGTAAGGAGATACAGAAGTATTTCTCAAAAGTAAGTTAAAAAAAAAAAGTGAGTAAAGACAAGATTTGCTCAGTTAACCAACTCAACTTACCTAGAATTCCTGGCAGCTCTTGTACAATGTGATGGATGAGAAGATCCAGGCATTTTGACAGGTATTCATTGCCGCTTTGCTGCTCTTTTCCTGCTGTGGTCTTTCTGCTGTCTCTTTCAATATACATCACAAGCCTACATTTAAGCATGTGCAAAATGTTACATCTCATAATACCAAACTGACACTATATCTGTAAAATACTACTGCAGCATGCACTTCTAGTACTTGTGGTTACAATCCAAAGAAAACATTTGTGAATATTCATTTTGTTTAAATTTTGGGGTCTTCCCTTCAAATAAATCAAATTTTAAGATAAAATGATTATGACAAGGAACAATAGGAAAAAAAAAGTACTGTAAATGCAACTTTACTAATTTAAGTGAAGATACAATACTAATATAAGGAATGAATTAATTAGGAATAGAAATTCACTTTATTTTGAAACACATGACCAACATACTCACTATAAGCTGAGACCAAAGACAGTCTTTACCAACAGGTAAGAATTCCAAGAGCCAAACTAATCTTTCAGTCAAGAAAAATTATAGAAAATTAATCATAAAATAAAATGCTAGCATTACTGAGAATGGCTATAAAGAAAGAGATAGAGAAGCCTAACTAGCATTATACCTTTCTCTGGAAATACGATTGCAGATTTCTAAAGACAAAACCTAGTGCTTACATTCTAACTGACAAATGCTGTAAAATTATTCTGTTCTGCAGAATGACACTTTTCACAGTAAACTATGGTAACCAATTTATTAGCCATTGGCTAACTTACAAGAGATTGCTTTAATAACACACCTATAACAGAATGCTTCAGGCAATATTATAAAATACTCATTTGAATAGACAGAAAGGCCAGATTTTCCTTTAGGGGCCTAATATTGACATCTCTGTTTCATACTCAAACTCCCAGGGGGTTTGGCACACAGAACCATCAGTCACTGGTGACTGAAAACCATGCTCTGGATTTTAAGAATGTACTTTAGCATTACCATTTTTCTTACACACTCTTATTATAACCAATGCTCATCTTAATTAACCTGCTTCAGGTGCATACAACAAGACTGAAGGATCATTAACACAATTTTTAATGCTAGCAAGTATGTATTTCTATCATAGAGATTATTTACTCAATTAAGTAAAAGTTACTCAAGAACAAATTTTGCAGGATCAAGTGTCTAAACAATGGATGATTGATTGCTAAGGAATGTTACAGCTCACCTGATCCTTCCTGAACTGCGTTATAAAGATGAAGATAGAGAGAAATCACAAGACCCATTCACTGACACTTTCAGCTCTGCTTTCCATGGACTATGGGGACGTCTTTGACATTTTAATACATCTTCCAGAGATTGCAAGATTACAATGATTTCTCACTTGCGTAGGATGTGAGAAATACTTAAAATCTGACAATGCTCTAAATAGACTTTTTTCTTTCAAATGCTTTACATTTATATATATATTTATATGGAAGAACATTTTAAATTGCAACAGTATAAACCTAGCCTTCCCAAACAACTAAGTATTTTATAGAGAATCTGTTTGTGTAAATACATGTGGTTTCTTTCTGTTGTCCTCCCTATCACAGAATTGTTCTTCAGAAGGATTTTTTAAAAATAAGCACAATTATTTTTCCTTGACAGTATTCTTCAAATAACTGCTGTCTGAGAAAACTGGACAAATTCATATGGTAAGGGAAGCATTAGTATCTTCATTTTCCTTCAACAAATCCCTCAGTCTTTTGCAGAAAATCAGTTATTTTTAATGCCTGAACAGTCTTAGTGTTCTGTCTAATGAGCAAAATCAGGCCTGTGAAAGTGTTACACTTTTTGAATTTATTCAATCCACATGTTTGTCATGCACTCAGCAGTACATGAAAAAGATATACAGGTGTTAATAAAATAAGTTATACGTCATTAAGACTGATTGTTTATATGCATTATACTACATACTCCTCATATTTCTCAAATATCTTTATAAAATGATTTGAGTTATAGAATCATAGAATGGTTTGGATTGGAAGGGACCTTTAAGGTCATCTGGTTCCAACCCCTGCTGTAGGCAGGGATGCCTCCCTCTACACCAGGTCACCAGGTTGCTCAGAGCCCCATCCAGCCTGGCCCTGCATGCTTCCAGGGAGGGGGCATGCACAAACTCACTGGGCAACCTGTTCCAGTGTCTCACCACCCTCACAACAAAGAATGTCTTCCTATTATCTACTCTAGATCTACCCTCTTCCTGTTTAAAGCTATTTCCCCTTGTCCTGTTGCTACATGCCCTTAAAAAAAGTTTTTCCCCAATAAAAAGTTCCTACCCGAAGTTCTTCCTACATAAAACATAACAAATAGTTATCCGAGTTCTTGCTACTGTACTAGAAATTTTTAATGTATTAGTATTAATTGCTCTGACAGAACTGGAGATATTTATCTAAAATACAGTGTTGAATTACTATTAATAAAAATCAAAGAATATCCATTATCTCAGCTGGACTTAAGAAAAATTCTTTCAGAGTTCAAGATATTACAAAAGTAGGAGGCCCCACACAAAATAGCTCATTTCTCCTCTCTCATCCTACTGTAATCATCTTGTACTCCGAATATAAGATAAATGTTTCAGTCTAGATCATTTGCCCTGCTAAGATACACTGTTTGCTGAAGAGAAATTGTAAAGCAATCACAACAAATTAAGAATAGCAGCTTATGAATTCAATAGAGCTGCTGTAAGTCTTACCTGTTGTTTTAACTACTGTGTTACATGTTTTGGTCCCTAATCTGCTCTGCCTGGAGCATCACAAAACAACAGCACAAAATTCACAACAGAAAATAACAGCCCAAACTCACAACACATTTTCTTCAGAAATGCTGCTCAGTGGAAAGCATCATTAAGAAAACAAACAAGAAGAAAAAAAAAAAAGAAAGAAAGAAAAGAAAGAGAGGGGATAAATAGTCAATAAATTGTATTTAAGTTCTTATCCTTCACGTAATATCTCAGGTATAGATAAACAAATAACAACTGTGAGTATGGGACAATGGTCAGACATTCCTCCAAACACATAGCTCAGTTGTATGTGCCAGGAGAAGCACATAAAAATGCGGAACGTGTTCAAAAACTTGCTTCAAAATCATCACACATTCTGCACTGTCCAGAACACATCACTTGATAAAGCATTTTTACAAGTACCAGAAGATGCACAACAGTGAATCTGGTAATCAACACTCCCTGCAATCTACCACAATTGACATTTCTACGGATACTTGTGTGAGTGGAGTATAAAATGACAGCACTCCAAAAGATGTCCACTCACAGTTTGTGGTATAACTCACCTGCTCCTTATCAATCCATCCCTTTGACTTCAAATACACATCTTAATTTTTCTCAAAAAGCAACATAAGATACAGAAAAATTGTATTTGCTGTAAACAGTTTATAGCTACCTGCAAGTCATAACTTCTTTACTTCCAGTTTCAAATCCACTTTATTCCAAACCCACAAAAACTGGGTCTACGCTGTATTTCACTGTTACAAATACTCAAGAAAATTTCTTCCATCTTACTTCTCCACCATCTCAAAACCATGGTGACAATTTATATTCTAGCAGTCTCATTTCCTCTCATCTACATGAAAGCACTGTAGTGCAAAAAGTTCCAATAACCATTCCACTGTGAATCAAACTTAACTGAAGTGCTTTCATTTCTTACAAAGTATTTTAAGATATAGGAACAGATGAAATATTTCATGCAAAAGTCACAGGAATTCAGTGATTGTTCTACAAATGACTTCAACAACACAGTCACAAAACATTATTCTGCTTTTAATGTACCTATACTGAAGAGACTACAGGTTATATCAGTCACATCATAAGATGAGGAAGGTACATGACAGACCTTTTTATTTTGCATTCCCATCACAGCAACAACTCACCAGTGCAGTACTTATTTGACCCACCCAAAACAAAATCTGTTCCTTGCTTATCCTAACAGGGACCACCAGTTACTTTTAAAGTTTCTCCTTGTAAGCCAGAGTGGCTTCCCCTTGTGAGTAATCATCATCTGGCAACAAAAGACAAAACAGAGAACTCTCCTCTGGATATCCTCAGAAACAAAAAGATCTGCACTGCACAGAAGATAATTCATTCTTAAACACTGACTCTGAAATACAACATATTGAAAGTGACTTAGACACAACTTTGAAAATAAGCATTGCATCTCTAATCATAAATTCCATTATTACCTTACCTTGCTTGACAACTGAGAAGCAACATTTCCCTGCTATTTATTAAAACTTGCAGCAGGACCAGAAATGCTTTTGCTCGTATGAAAGTTGAAGGACTTTCAAGTAAACGAATAATTGTAGTCATAAACTCCTTGGTGGGAATAAACAAAAAAACATTACTGTTATCTTATGCAAAACAGTTACTTGCATTATACTTTATCAATGCATACATTTGAAATTCCATTTTTTCATTTCTATAACGTATTTGCATTTTGTATTACCCTTTTCACTTCATTCTCATAGCAAATAAAATCCATACAACACAACTAAATACATTGTGTCCAAAATAGACAGGCCAAGTGAAAAGCTGCCCTGTTCAACTTCTCACAAGCCATAGCAAGAAAACACTATCTGTTCTACCGTGTCCAGAATGGACTAGAAAGCATTAGAAAATATCCTGCCTTAAGGATGATACAATATTTTAACATCTTTAAGACTGATGAATTTTCAGAATATAGGTATACCTCAGCACCAATAAGACAAAAGGTCTACCTATTTCCATACATGGAGGAAGATAAAACACTACCTTTGTTGGATACAATTATGCCTACATCAGTTCATAAATGATACCATGGAATGAAGCAGCCACCCAGTACATAACTACATGTTGTATATAAAGTTTTATATCCTCCTACGACACACATTTAACATGCTAAGTGTTATTCAAACTCCCTGTTTTGACCACAGAATAACCGAAAGGCAACTTCATAAAACTGAAAATCAAGACCAAACATGATTTGTTAGAGGCAAGCTTTGCAACACTTAGCTAGAAGAAAGAACATTAGTGTAAAATCCAGCCAACAAGCCATCAGATTTTACTGATACTATTTAAACTTTGTCTTCAAAACATAGATTGCCATCAACACAGACAATCAGTAAAGATGTCTCAGAAGAACAAGCTATTAATTATTCTACTAATTCTTTCTTGTCTTTTTCTAATTTAGTTTATAAATAGACACCATTCTTCAATCTTATGGTTGATGAAACTAAACTGCATAAAGATCATGCTTTAAACTGCTCAGTTGTTCATGGAGCAGAACTTCAGCTCCTTTTTGCCTGAGCAAGAAATTTTTTAAATGATAAACAAATTAGAAGCAAAGGTTAAAATCTTGGTAAAGTGGTTTTTTGTTTCCTTTTCTTTTTTTTCTCTTTTCTCTTCTCTTTTCTCTTTTCTCTTTTCTTTTCTTTTTTCTTTTCTTTTCAGAAATAACCCAGAACGACCACAAAAAAAAGAGCTGTTACAATAGTAAAGTCTCAAGCTTAGAATAACAGTATGTATAATGCTACACTGCCTGCTAACACAAATGGACCTGACAGACCAAGCACTGGGGCAACACGACATGGACAGATGCATCTACAAGCCAAAACACAGCTGTAGTTTTATTCCTCATGGTTTAGAAAGCAAGAACATTCCATTGCAGGGATAGCAATTAAACGTGCAAATAATTGCACTGTCAATTAAAATTAGTTATATCAAACTTATTATCTAATTTATGTGAGAATTCTCTAATGATCTGGCTTAAGATACAAAAGTGACATTTTATAATTTGTTTTTTTGCCTGGTCTGATGACTGCCAAACAGCAACATTTTATCCAAAGAAAATCTGCAGCACGACTTTGCTGACCTGCAGAACTCAATAAATCAGAAGAGGCAAAAATTGCTGAAACACATATATATTAATTATTAATTGTTGCACTGTTACACTGTTCCTCCCTTGCTCACAACTGTTTTGAGGTATCCATGGAGACTCTGCAGGGTAAGGACACTGCTTTCATTACAAGTGAGCCACCCAACCACAACAAGATCACGATTGTATATAGGATATTCCTAATGATACTGCAAAGCAAATTTAAAATAAATCATGAAAAGCAATTAAGTTTTTTAACTGGTTACACAAGGGAGAAACGGACCATTATTTCAAGAAACACTGAAGATGTCATGGCAAGTATTTGTTGTTTTCTGGAGTATTTTCTGATTTGCTTTTTATGAACTGCAAATATCTCCATAACATTATAATTAAAGAGTTAGATGGGAAAAAAAAAAAAAAAGAAAAAAAAACAGCAATAAAAAATAAATCAAAGTTACAAATCCTTTTACAAGGTCTACGTCTCTTAACTTTTGCCATTTCATGTCCTGCAATGCTGTACAAATCGATCAGGAAGAAGAGATACTCTGATCTTAAGAAATGACATTGCTGAATTGTGAGGGTATGATTTACACAAAAGGTGACTGGTACCACTAGCATGCACACTCAAGAACAACCACAGAAACAGAGGTGGTAGTTGACACATGTTTTTATGTCCAAATAGCAAACAAAACATGCTGGCTGCATAGGTGGATCCAACATGCAGGCTAGTGACTTTCTAGCAGGAGCAGGTTAGTCAGGTTTGTGCACACTTACCAAAATGTCAATGGTTTCCATTCAGAGATGATATTTGACAGCTAGATTAAAGCAGTTTTCTTTTTTATCTACTGCTATAGTTTTCAAAGATGTTTGATTCAGAGTCTTTCTCCACATTTTATTTTAAAATATCATTTCATGCTGCTGTTTTTTTGTTGTTTTTTCTTCAAAACATGAAGCTATAGTAGAATATCTCTGTATCAAGAGCGATTTAAAAAATCCTTTAAGCCACTGTAGTTCTCCTAAGATTTATATTGGTACAGATGACTACAGAACAGCTTTTTTCTTTCTATTCCTCTAGTTGTTATTTTGTAAATGATTTCATTCCTGTTCTCAAAGGGAGTTAAAAACAAAAGCAGGCTTAAGGCTTGCAAGCTAAGGGGGGTTCCAGATAAAATACACAAAGGTAAATGACTTCCATTTTGAATTTGCATATTTAAGTATCATTTAATATGTTGGTTTGCAGTTCTATTAAAAATTACCTTCTGTAAACACTGAGGTCTTACCACTTCTTAAGGTACACAAGAATTCTACAAAAGACAAAATACTTGGGAGATTTACACTGGTCATTTTCTTTTTCTCTTTTTTCATTAGGATGGACTTGCATGTCAAGCACAAAGAATACTGAAAAGTGTCATCACGGTGTAGCCATATGCTTGTTGAACATTCAGGGAAAGAATTCAATGTGTAAGTGAATCTTCAAACATACTTCTCTCAGTAGATCACCAGTGTGCAATAAGGCATTTGAAACTGTCCTGTAATGTCACAATTTGCCATCTGTTAATGCTCTTGTAAGTGGAATCTGTGGAAAGCTTAAGGCCAGATGACAGGCATTTACACAGAGCACAGTGACAACTCTAACATGAAACTAAATGACTTTCATGAAGAGAATGAGTAATTTCAGGCTGCAAGAAGAGATGAGTGGAAGACTGTATATTATTTTTTTTCACTTAAATGTTGTCGTTAAAACAATATATACAGAAAGTAAATGAATGCATTTCAAGTAAAGCCAGATGCATTTTTTTAGTCAAGATGAGAATCAGGTTACAGCACACATCACTGCTGGTGAAAACATGAGCTCCTCTTCTAATTTTTTCTCTGTAAGTAGAGATGCATTGATTTTGTTTGTTAACTGTACAGGTGTACTGACAAAAATAAACATGGAATATTTTGGTGATCAAATTAGAAAGCTTTTGATCATCTTGGGAGAAGAATGCAGTAAAAGCAGCTCTACGGAGAAGCAGTCAGAGGTGCTGGTAGATGAAATGCTTAACGTGAGCTAGCTATGTTGCTTATGGTCCAGAAAGACAAAAGTATCCTGGGCTGCTTCAAAAGCAGCAGGGTGAGGGAGGGGATTGTCCCTCTGTTCTGTAAGACCCCATCTGCAGCACTACATTCAGCTCCGGGCCCCCAGCACAAGTACATGGAGCTGCTGAAGCATGTCCAGAGAAGGCCACAAGGATCCTCAAAGGGCTGGAGCACCTCTCCCATGGAGACAGGCTGAGAGAGCTGTTGCAGTTGAGTCTGGAAAAGGCTCCAGAAAGATCTGATAGCAGCCTTTTAGTACCTAAAGGGGCCTCCAGTAAAGCTGAAGACAGACTTTGTCAGGGAGTGTAGTGATGGGACAGGGGAGAGTGGCTTTAAACTGAACAGGACAGGTTTACGTTGGGTATTCTTTATGAGAGAAGGGTGTGAGGCTAGTAGCTTCTAGTAACTTTCTAGCAGCTTTATTCAGCACCACTAGGAAGAAAATTAAGTTCTTAGAATACTGATTTCTGCAAGACATTTTGCTTATGAATTGGTCAAAGTGCTTCAAAGAGAGAGTAAAATAGAGCTTTAGATTCACTTGGGACATATTTTTCTTTAGGACCATTAAAAGCCCTATGTTATGGTCATGCTAGAGCTTTCTAGCTGCAGGAATACTGGCACCCATAAGTATCAGCTCTTAAGGATCTGAGAATAAGAAACATTATACTCTTCATTATTCATATTTTCAACAAACAAAAATATAAAAATAACACATTATCTATATTACATGAACAGGTAGTAATTTTCTGTAAGTAGTAATTTTTGAAGGACATCATTGAACCATTTTTTTCCCCTCTATTAAAATGTTAAATTCACAGTTCTCAGTTTTGAGAAAATTGAGAGATCTGTTCCTAATTTTCTGCTATTTGGGTACTTAGCTGTTACTGAGCTAAACGTTTTGAAAACACAAAGGCATTTGCTAGAAGAAACTTTTAACCTTTCATTCATGAATTTCCATGCCTCTGAATACTATTAATCTGAATTCTAACCTTTTCTTGTATCAGCCTCTGGAGATGAATTCCACATGACAACATTGCAGAAAACATGGTGAGCAGGTACTGCTGTATTTTGCATATTCCAGTTAGCAAGGAATTTAGTACAGCTGTTAATCCCACCTTCTCAATGACACTCTGGAAAGCACTGGGTGAATAACGGGTGATTCTGCATAAAGCCTACAAAAGCAAAACAGAAATCTTGTTATTTAATAGAATTTAACAGAGTTTTTAATTAAGAATTTATACCATTTCATCATAAGATAAACATAAGGAGAAGGACTACTGTTTTTTGTTTGCTTGTTTAAGAGACCTGCAACTCTTCTAAACCTCTACATCCCACACAGTTGCAACTGAAATCCTTGGTACAACAACATTAATATCAAGTAGGGTCATGTCACTCTCTTCCTCCAGATGATATGATGCAGCAGCATAGTCCATACTTGGAAATTCTATCGATACAGAATGTAGGCAATATTAGATAATACTGCACAAAAAAGGAGCACGGGTAACAGAAAATATAGAGATGTCACACACCACAGAAATTCTGGTCACCCATAAGAGATCTTTATTCTACCTCTGTTTCTGGACACTATCTATAATCTGATACAAAGTATATTATCTGAACGTTATTCAAAAGCCTCAGCTTATCTACTTTAGACCTAAATATTTGTTATGGAACACTATTGAGTACAGCAAACACAGAAACTCTTCTGCCAAATGGTAGATTTGGCAGTTCTGTGCATACTGACTTAGCTACTCCTTAACAAAAATTCTCAAATGACCTTCAAAGTGGATCAGCTTTCAACTCAAAGTATCTTTTAGCTTTCAGTGCTTCAGGAAGTGCAACCTTCATGATACTGTGACTGCTTTTGCTGTATTTAGATGAGGAAAATACAACTCCTCAGACACTTTGTCGTCTTTGCCTTGAACGCAGCATTAGGATAAGAAAACAGATTAGTTATTTGATTCGTGTGAAAACTTGAATTGGTTTCAGGCAACTTTCTTCTGTGAGCAGTAGTCAATATCATCATTTATTTGCTCTCTCCTAGCCAGCTATATTTAGAAACTGCTGCTTACACAGCATCCATTCAGTAGCATGTTTTCATTTAAGAGGAGGAAAAAGAAAAAAGGAAGGAACAAAAGAGACAAACCTAAAACGTACTTCATTGATGCAATTCACCTACTCAATACCCACTCCTCCTCGTCCTTTTTGGTCCTGCAATAATATTGACTGCAGCTTTTTCCTTCCCCCTCATCCCTCCTTTTTTTTTTTTTTTTTTTTTTTTTTTTCCCCTTAAAAGATAGGCATTCAGTCTTTGTTTTTAAGTACATCAGTGTCTAATTCCCCAAAAATACAATTCAACCATTCATGTCTAGCCAGAGTTCTCAAAATTAGCAGGCTCAAAGTATTCACTAAATCTATCCTTGAGGTTCATATTACTATAAATTGTTGAGGCCCAGAGACAAACTGTCAAAGCAAAAGGGGCAAAGTTGTTACACTAATATGGTGCTCCCAGAGATGCCAGTGCCTCAGCTCCCTGCTTCAGACTTGGTCAAAAAAGAGGTAACCACAGCCATAAGACCATTAGAAACCTCCAGGTAAATCCTGCGGAGACATGGCTGTCCAGTAAGACTGTATTGCAACTTCAGAGATGGGAGGAAAGCTCCATCCCACTAACAGCAAAGGGTAGAAACTTTAAACTGCTGTTGTCATCGTGTGCTCTGTTGAATGACTGAAATGACCACTTCAGCAGAAAATCAGACTGAGCTTTATGAGGGAGAGGAAATAGAAGACATATTCACATAAACCACTTTAGCAGATCTTAAGGAGGTAGTTGGGCAAAAATCTGGAAATGATAATAGGTAAGAGTAGAGGAGACCTTACATTATCCTCTGTCAGAAGCAGCTTTGAACAAGAAATGATTGCAGTGAGAGAAAGGCATTGGTAGAGCCTCTCCTGGAATGAACTTTGCTATCTTTGGTCTCCATCCAGTCTTCGTACTGCACTTTTTCTCCCAGCAGCCCCAACCTTAACAGTATTTGTGCCTTATCCATTGCTTCCCAGTCTTATGTGCTATATAGCATGTAGGTAACGTTCATCCTTTCAGGATGCACTCTGTGCATCTCAAATTTGAGAATGAATGCTTTAATGCATCTGTGGTAACTAAGTATCAGAAAGAAACTATTCAGCACCAATTATTTAAGAAAAGAAAGAAAACAATTTTGTTGAGCTCTCCCATATTTTTTTTTCCCCATGGAAGTGGCTTATGCTTCAAGTAGTTACTTCTCCAGCAGAAGCTTTTTCTTAACATGAGTAATTATTTTTTAAAAAATGAGGATATAACTTTCAATATACTAGAAAAAAATTCCTGCTGCTAAGCTTGTTAGAATGTCATTTTGACATCTTACTGAATTATTTCTATTCTGAGTTTAGCAGAACAATAAATGATATCACTTCTGTATTATGTTTACCTAAGGCAGGCTGGACTACCCCATAGCGAGCAAAAACACTGAAACACAATCCCCATTTGCCACCTCTGACAGGTAGGACAACACAAGGTGTCATTTCTTGACTCTAGTGGCTGAGGACTGAAAGTCTTCCTGATATATTTTTGTTGCTGATTGAAATAATTGTAAGTAAAATCCCATAGTGCCTTACAGCTGATATACGTTGCAGCCAACGTGCTAGCTGCAGGTAAAGATATAGCACACGTTTCTTCACATAAATGCTTTTTATAGTGAATATACACGTCAATCAGGAATACATTCTTCAGGATAGATTTAAACAAGGCAGGAATGACAGCATGATAAAACATAATAGGACACATTATCATATGCAGAATAAATAATGCCTGCATACCCGTGGCAACAACACACTACAATGATATTTTATGAACGTAGAAAATAAATAGTATGATGCAACCTCAGAATGCATTAGTACATTACTTCAAAAAATTGTATGTTACTTAAATCTCTATAAAATTCAACTAGGGAAAGAGCTACCTGTATTAGATTTCAATATCAATTGGTTATCTGAGCATTTTCCAAAGTTCAGATCATATGCTCAAACACCTCAGCTGTATTAATACGTAGCCATGATTTATATTGGGTCTTGAATAACGATCATAATAAATAGAAGTCCAACCTCTTGTTCCTTTGGTATTTAACTGCAAAGCAGCAAAAGGATTAGAGGAACACCTTAGTATATTTTACTTCAGAAAGCTGCAGTTCAGTTCATTTCTTATGTAACTGAATGGGAACTGCTGAATCACAGCCTGAACTTCTGATTGACCACCTGAGGCGAGCAATAAGTCAGCCCTGGGAGCACAGGTGAAGGCAATTCAGCTGTGTGATGGAAGGGGTGGAGCCTGGCTGCACCTCTCCTAGACCCATTTAAGAGCTGACTGCCAGTAGGAAAGGATCTCTTCTGGAGATCCCTCCTCTTGAAGTCTTCTCAGCAAGCCCAGGACAAGGGTAAGCTTTCTATCTATTCTTCTTTGGTGTGAGAACCTGTTGAGCCTAACTTCCTGTATATTTCTTAATTATAACATCTGTATATTCATTGATTATACATGCAACATACAATAATTACATCTTAAACATTCAGTAAAGGGTGTACAATTCCCCAAAAAAGTAGAGGGGAAAATCCAGTAACAACTTCAGATGAAAAGTATCCTTACGTGAAATGACATGTATGGAATGAGAAGATGGAATTTACTACATATAGCAACAACTGCCTGTAAAAGAAACAAAACAAAAAGCACCAAGAAATAGGGCAGCTAAGCAAGTGATGTAGAAGAACAAATATTTCATACTCCTTTAGTCCTTCTCCCTGCTGCTTTCATTCACATCTCACCAATATGCTGACCTGGAGCAAGCCCTGCCTCTAGTGTGACTGTAACCTTAGTAATCACTCGAGTAAGAAGTGTGATCTCCAGTAAGCCTGTGCCTTCACAGTAATTAAAAAAAAAAAAACAAAAACAAAAAAAAACAATGTTTGTTTTCTTATATGCTCCTTATGTACACTTATAGTGCACATTTGCACATATTCAAGCACAAGATACTAAGGAGATTTTTGCCTCAGCAGAGCCCTGTGCACACACAACTAGGTGTCATCTCTTTAAATGGATAGCCTGACACTGAAGCTTGGATTTCTAAGGAACCTGGTCTTCCCCAATAAATCTAATAGAGCATTCAAGAAATCATTTTTCTTTAGGGAATTCTAGTAATCGCTGCTGTCATGACCTTGAAAACATACCTTGGTACTAACATATGCCACCTGTAAGAGGGCATGGCAGAGCAGTTCCTGAAGACAAATCAGCTTTGACAGATACTTCTTGGATTTTACATGAAAAGTGAAAAATTAAACAGTTTGAAAAAAAAAAAAAAAAATCACAGGGTGAGAGGTTGGCAAAAATGCTGTTATTGCTGTAACACTAACGAGTGCCAACCCAACGAGGGCTGCCAGATGATTCAATTTTGAAGTACAACATAGTGTGGTAACTTACAGGCTTCTATAATGTATATTTTGTTCAATAAAATGTACTTAGAAGTAAATGCATTTTCTTAGTGTTTGAGCAGTTTATTTCCCATGCAAGTGTTTGCCAAAAAGGCATCTTGAGGTCAGTATTTAATAAATATATGTATTTTCTAACAATATTTTGTTTAGTTTGTTTCTTCAATGTGCTTAGATGTTTTAATTTTCTCTCATTCCTTACCTCACTGCTAGATGTGTCTATGTGCATACTACCACAAACAGCAACTTTACCATTTTCTATTTGCAAAGCCACCAGAAACTCAGTGAACCTGAACGTTATTCAGGCAATCAGCATCCAGCTATCACACTTCATTTAAACTAAGTCAAATTACTGTTCAGTCCTGAGATGTTACCTGTATCGATGGCTGCAGCTTTTGTTTTGTAAACAGGAGATACGGTTAAACTCACAGCTCTGGTAAATATTGCTTATCTCACAAACCTTTTTGTTCCAAAGCTTTTGTTTGCATGTCATAGCTCTTTGCTTGTCATGGTTGGACTCAATGATCTTTAAGGTCTTTTTTTAACCTGAGTGATTCTGTGATTCTATGAAGTATGTTGTAAACCAAATAAATACTTCTGAAATAAAATACATCATAAAAAAAATCAGGAAAAATTTCTAGATTTGTTGAATTAAAATTTTTGAATAAGAGTCATGACCTCTAGCATAGGAAGCAAATGTTCAAGAAAATGATGAACTGCAAGGTCTTTCCATACACTTGTTTCCAACACAGGCAGCTATATTAGGTTTCAATTACAGGCCATGTTAAGGAATGTAAAACAACATGAACAAGGGCAATTCTCGCTTGCTGCAAAGAGGAATCAAAATAGGAATCAAAATGCTGTAAGCCAACTAACAAACACATCTCTCTGATCCATCTTTTAGCCCTTTTAGGAAGCTATATTGGTCTGTTCTTAGTAACAGTAAACTGTATTCAAACTGGTGCATAATTTATGCTCTATCAGTTATTTGCAATACAGTTCAATATAACAGAAAATATACATACACACAGAAAGCAGGCTCAAAAGCATTTTCATTTCAATGCAAATTCTATTTCCAGATAAAGCAAAGATTTCAATACCATGAAAGGAAATTTCTTACCGAAACAGCAGTTATTTTCAAAGAATCTATGGTAGAATGTGTGAAAAGGTACCATAAGACTGGTCCGATTTCTCCTGTAATAAATCCTTGTGCATAGCAGGAGAGAGTAGTGCAAACATTTTCGATTATCTTTGCTGCCAAATGGTTCACAGTCCGGTCTTCCTATAGAAACAATGGGAAAGGAAAACTGAAATATCTGTAATGTTTCTGGCTTGTTTTTAAACTAGTTACTATGCCTATGTCTCATTCAACATGTATTCTGTTAGTGTGCTTTCTTAGTTTTGTTTGGTATTTGGCAAAGTTTTTTGTAGTAAATCTTAACTTGTGACAACAATGTGCTTACAAATTCTACAGCCCCTGCTTTCTCTCTCACTATAAATAAAACAATACAAGTATATTTTAATACAAAATATTTCTTCTCCAAACAATCACAAAATTAAATGTTGCCATTGGAAGAAAAAAAAAAAAAAGGCTTTGTTACATAAGAGATGTTCAATGATGAGTTTTTCTGGAACGTGTGTGTGCCAAAATTCACCATTAAAACAGTGTCTGAATAGCATGATTACAAGATGTACATTTACACTAGGAGAAATAAATAATTCAAATGTTCCTTATTAAGAACAACGAACAATTTCCTGGGATAAAGAAGAGGGCCTTCTTCAGAGTGTAAAGAAAAGGGTATTTTGGAATAACTGGCCTGGTACGCAGATAATCCTGACCAATGTCTATGATAAACCACTGGGTGCCATTTGCTACAGCAGTTCCCAGATTTCCCTAAGAGATTCACAGTCCTGAAAGGTATTTTTAGTAATAATCAAGTCACTGATCTGCAAAATCCCTTATGCAAAACCACTAAGTGATTCTTTAATAAAAAAATAAAGCTATCTATAGATGTCTCAGGTAGTCTGCAAGCATAGCTGTAGTACCTATGTAATACTGTTCAGAGTTCCATTTCTACAATGAATAAAAACCAAGTTAGAGGAATGACAACAAATCAGCATACCACAGATGTCACAAATTAACTTAATTTACATCACTTAAAGGCAGCCTTTATTTCTCTCCCTCTTGTCTTTTTTTTTAAGGATGCTCCTTTTAATATCTCTGATTTTGCTGTGTTTTGTTTGTTTGTTTTTTAAATTACTTTTTTTCCAACTCTGCTTTCACTTAAAAGGAGAGGCTTTATCTTCATAGAACTGAAAGGTTCATTCCCAATGTTGGTTTGGCTGTGTATCATTCCACCTTACTTCCACCTTTAACTCTGAATAAGTGAAGTCTTTCAGCAATGTCTTAAACTGCACTCTTGAGTTCAGCAGCAGTTAATTGTGAGAAGGACAATCAATTTAATTTGTCAAGTCTACCTCACAGTCTGGCTTCACAAATAATTCATTATAATATCTAATGGATTTCTTTCTTATACTTCACATTATCCTATTACCCTTTGGATTTCTGACATTTGTCTTCACAAACAATGATAAAGAAAGCTTTCAGAAAGTGGTACAAAAGCCATCCAAAAATGGAGAATGTGCACTTCATTAAAAATACATTTAATACTTATTCCTCCTCTGACAGATGGACATTCTAAAATGCAGACACTGATGCACAAATATTTCAGAAGTCCAGGATAATATAGTTCAAAAAGGTTTTATTCATCATTTTTGTTTTACTCCTTCATTTTCTTCCAAAGAACTTCTGCTTTACTCAAAATATTTAAAAGAAATATCAAAGCCAATTCTCACTTAAAACAATTATGCTCTGCTGTAAAACTCTACTAACTCCTTTGCTTTTCCTTCTGATTTACAGCCATGAGAGCAAAGGAAAGGAGATTTAGGCTTCTGTTTTTAGAGTTTTTGTTACTGTAATATACTGCACCAACTCTGCCTATTAACTATCTAGATATATACACACATTTACCAAAATTCAGATTCCCAAAACTTTTTTTTTTTTTTTAATGTAACTAATATTCATTTAAAATCTATTTTTGTATGAAACTTCTGATTTTTTTTTCCTACAGTTAAGGTAAAAAATATATAGATTTTTTTAGATTAACTATACGAATTTAAAAATCAAATCCATACTTTAAATGTTATTAGTCAAGTCAAGTGTCTCTCACATACTACAAGATTACTAAGAATACTAATTGAGTCCCCATTGCTACTTGGAACAAGTGGCAACAATTAATATACTCGGTATGCAGTCCTGCTCCTTTGGCTACAAGAAGGTCAGGTATAGTCACAATGCACTAAAAACTCAATGAGGCTTTCATAATAATTCCATTTACTGCCATCTGAGATTGTCTGTCTTCACTCCCCTGAGATCTATTTCTGAGCACTGCCTAAGCGACTAAGACTTGCACCATTCTCTGCTTAATTAGCTCTCCAGAAGAGATGTCTGACCTAAACTAATATTTGACCTCAAAACTAAAGGACTCATCCTGCCAGGTTATCAAGACATAAGTTATGTTAGTGAATTAAAAAAAAAAAATCCTTCAAAATACAAATGAAGAGGTTCTGTGTAACTGCATCTAATGAAAATACGTGAGTAGAACTGTATCAAAGGAGCACATAATCCATTTTCCCTGTTTTAGCTGTACATCTAGTTTTATAAATTGCACTGAAAGACAGAGCTGCTGAATTTCAGTCATGTCAAACGCTTGCAGAAGTGTCTGTTTCAGTCACTCATGGATGTTTAGCAATAAGGAGCCCTGAGTAAGAAAGCAAATATAAGAGTCGTAGATAAACATATAAAAAATATTGTATTATTTTTTCATATTAAATCATGCAGAGAGAAATGTATTTAGTAGAAGTGTATTTCTGACTGACTGAAAATCCCATCATTTTCCTAAATCAACTTCCATATAGTTCTTCCTTTAATCTAAGACAGATAGCATAAATATATATATAAAATTTAGGGAAGTAAAGTTGTATCACGCTAAGTGTTTGCTATAGCAAGAATTAAATGTTTGGTAAAAAATTGGTAATCTAATACTAACGAAGGAACATATAGAACTATGAACATTAAATACCTTCGTGGAAAAATGAAAAATAAACATTCCACCAGTGAGCTGGAGAAGCAGTATACAATACAGACTGTTATTTTTTTGTTATAGGTAAATCCATTAGAAAACTACAGAATTGATATCTAAAGAAGTTAAAGTGATGAAGAGTAGATGGTTCAAACTATATGACATCTGTAATATAATTTCTCCCATACTTTCTGAGAAAATACACAAGGTCCAAATTCACTGTAAAGGAACTGCTCTAGCTAGGAATAAACATTAGAAATCATTTCTATGATTGCTTTATATGTATTATTGCCCTATATTAAACATTGGCAGTTATATTTTAAAGTCAGCTTTGATTATCAACATTTTCATCAGATTAGAACCAAAAACTTTTGATTCATATCTTGCTCCTTGCTTGCAGATAAAAATGTCTGCTAAATTACATGATGAGAAACTCTAATTTATCTAAAATTCTGCTTCTGCAGCACCTTGGAAAACACATAAAACAAAACTAACCTTTTAAAACTTATTCACTACTTCTGATTCAAACACTTTCTCCAGGTGCCTTGCTTAAAATGAGAGTTACACATGTTCTAATACGAGCAAGACAATTAGCTACAGCTATCTATACTAACTCCTCCATGCAACTGTATTGCCTGTATCTTTTTCCCAGGTTCTATGAAGCAATTACCAAACCTGTTGCTCATGTTCACTTGTATTTACATACTCTCCTATTTAAGCAGAAATGGACAGATACCAAGCTCCAAGCTACTTTTTGGTAGCTCCTTCCTGCCTTCACACAGGCTTAAAAGGAGGCCAGCATGCATGGCTCACCATCTAGTTTCATTGCTTCAGTGAGGGTTTAGGTCAAAGCAACATTGTCCAAGCCAACGTGAAACAAGGGAAGTGAAAAAGCAGTATGGATGAGAAGTGTGAACACTACCCAAAAAAACAAAGCTTAGGTGAATCTTAAGGGGTAAACATTGAAAATTCAGAAATAGACAGTTTTTCCACAAACAAATTTATCATTACATAGCTTCTGACTAATGTACCTCAGAATAACATTTTACTTTTAGTTATGAGCTCCAAATACCCCGTAATACACACATGGTTGTGTGTGTTCTTGATCATCTGAAGATTTGAAGATGTTAAAAATGCATCTAGACCTTTTCTCTATTAATCACAATCTGTAGGCAATAAAGATCTCAAAAAGAAAAAGAGGAAAAAAAGGTACTTCTGTTGCTTTCCCCCCTCCAGCAACCTCCGTCATGTTTTCTGCCTTGAGCTTTGCCTTGGGCAAAAATAAAGTCAAATGGTCTCATGTAAACAGAAGATGCCAATCCTCTACTCAATTCCTCTTCATTTTACAACATGGAATCATAAGCATGCTTTTATTCCCTTTCTGCAATACGGCTAAGTCAGCACCAAGAAAAATTAAGATTACAGCATAGTGTATGTAGTACAATAAAACTAATTACTGCTTTGGGGCTTCGTATGCTAATAACCCAGTAGGATAACAATGCAGTTTTCCAAAACTGTATCAGACACTTTAAAATCAAAACTAAATCTTATCCAAAAATGCACCATACAGAAAGTAAACTGCAAGAAAATACTATAAACTGTCAGAACATCTCTCGTAAGAATGTCACAGTGTTACTAAATTTACTAACAGTAATTTTTGTTTACCATTTCCCAAAACCAAGCAACAGTACATAAATGTTGGACGCACAGAGAACAGCACTGAATTTTTGCATTCATCTCTGCTTAGGTCATGGTCTTATCGTGATTATTTAAATTCAAGAGTACCTTGGTTGACAAGGTAGTGCAGTGCTGCAGGCTACAATCTCACACAATGCCTAAAGGGTTATTACAGTGGAGAAATTCTATTGAGGACAATGAAAGTGCCTTACCCCTTCCCGAAGACACCTCATTAGCACAGTGTAAGCTGCTGAGGGAACAACCAAGCATTCTCTGGGGTGCTCTTTTTTTACCTCCTGAAATGAAGCCAACAGCAGAAATGATGAAATTGAAAAATCACAAAAATCTCAGCCACATAAATGGGAATATAATAATGATAATGTTCATACTATACACACTACAAATTATCGTATGCTAGAAAATATAAATTTCAAGGCAGTATTAACAGTTTATGTTATTCCACGTGCAGCAAAGAATTTGGCATTTTATTATTTTGCTTAAGTAGTCTCTAAAATCCATAACAGAATTTGTCCTAATATTTCTTAGTTTCATCATTTCCTTCCAACTCACACACAAAGAGTGATTTTGGGCTTCTCTCAATCATTTTGATTACTTCAGAAAGGGACGACTGAATACGAAATGCAATAATGCTTCTCTTTAAATGTGATTTAATTATACCAAACAAAATAATTTTGTTTGTCAACAAAAATAAAGTAAATTTGCTTTGGAAAAAGATATTCAAAGTCATTCAGAGAGACATAGAGTACTTAATTAAACTTACTGCATGGAACCTTCATGACAAATCAGTATTGTTCCAAGATCCTTACGTGTATCTCCTTGAAATCACAGTTAGAGACACTGATTCACTGCTATTTGAATTAGCATTTTGATTCTGCAATTAGAAGTGAATTAACTTCCTTTTTTTTTTTTCGCCTCCCTCAAGCGGTCTACTGTAAATATTCAAATTTAAAAGTGGACATTTGGATATCATTAAGATTCGGCCAAAGCAACCTCGTATCTAGGCTAACAGCACAGAGATATTAACAACTGTGAAAAAATAGTCTCTATCTGAAAAGGGAAGGACAAGACTAGGAGTGAAGACAGTTAAAACAACAGCCTATGCTGGAACCAGCAGGAACCTGTTTCTCATTTCAGCCATCTGATTAAGTAAGAAGCTTTGAACAATTTTCTCCCACTACATATATTAAATGTGCTAAAAAAATAAAAGCTTTAAGAAATGACAGTCTTGAAATATCAATAGTTCTTCCATTTTTCAAACTGATGAATGGCTTTCTACAAGGCTTAGTCTCAAGTCAGAAATTTTAAAAAATGAAATTTAGCACTTCTCTTAATTATCTAAACATACTTATCATTTTTTACATTTACTAAGTTTACACACATCACCAAACTTTTGAAGAGCTTCCTACTTTTTGTTCAGAGCTCCTGTTGATTTAATTAAACTTCAAGTTCTCCACCCAAATAAAACAAACAGTACAAAAGGAAGGGAAATATTACACAGAATTTGAAAGTTTTCCCCTAATGCAATTTTCTTAAGAGGACCAGAGCATCCTCTCTGTACTCAACTCACACTGCTTACAATTTGCTCTTGGCCTCTTTTTGGAAGAGAAATACAGATACAGAGTGCAAGTGTACCCCCAATGACAGCATTAAGGATTGCAAAGGAGCATTGTGATTATTTAGACTTTTCCCAGAATTTTCTAAAGTGCAGAACTGCAACCAGGGACCCTGCAATATAACTTAATGAATCTTGCTGCATCTAGATAGTTGACAGATTAAGCACCCGATAATTTATGATTATCAAATTCTCATGCTAATTGAAAACTAAATTATCGTTATCTAATATTGAGGTAGGACATAGAAGCACTTAGGAAACCGCAAGAGGAAAAAAAATCAAATAAATAGAAGTGAGGCACATCCCCACAAGTTTACGGCTCAATTGGTAAGCGTTTATAAAGTCAATGTATGATTCTTAATGAAGCAGACAGTTCTCTTCAATTAGTTAAGGCATAAGGCTTTGCTGTTTGAAGATATAAACTGGGAACAACCATTTCTGTTAGCTCTTATTACGCTACTACTGACTTGGTGTATGATCTTGACAAGGTCACTTCATACCCTGTTCTGCAGTTTAAACAGCAGGTAAATGTCTACCACACTAATGTATTCCGAGGTTGCATATGTACAGTGGAAAAAAAAGATTTTTTAATAAAGAGCTCTTTTTAAAAAAAGGAACATAATGATATAACTGACATGTTAAGTTTCTCCAAGCACAGAAATCACACTGATACATTTGAATTTGTAAGAAGATGCAGTGCCTTAAGATTGTAAGCACAGATGAATTTTCCTCCTCTCTAATAACTTCTTACTTCTAACTCAGAGCAATTCACCACATTGCTATCGTTCTTCCCAAAACACGACAGAGAGCTTTCATTTAAAAACAAGTTAATATGCTTGAAACATTGCAAAGCTTATAAATACACACAGACTTAACAGTTTCTCAGCTGATGTTTTCATAAGAAAAGGAAGTGTTAGGGTTAGCACATGCTAATCTCTTCAGCTATAGAGCCAACACAGACAGATTTGTTTTAATCGGTAAGGATTAATTTCAAAACAAAACCAAGCAGTGCAAAATACTCTTGCCATATATAATCTTCAAGTTCGGATTTTTATTAGTGCTTAAAAATGAAATAGCTTGCAATCTGTCTGATAAGTATCATTTTTTCCCCCTTAAGGAAAACAGAGAAAGAAGTGAAAACATCTAAAATAAACTGTCACTGTAGAAGTACTTTCATAACAATTTCTCAGTATGAGGACGTGTTCTGTGACTTCACACGTTTGACAGAGATTCTAGCAATTTCTAGCTAGCAAATGAAGCTTGCTATTCTACAAAATAAAACAAAGCAACCACTTCATTCTGTGGGACACGCAAAGGACACAGAATATCAGGAAGCCCAAATACAGATTTACTTGGTGCTTTCACTCTTTCAACAAGTAACCTCACACACAAACTGATAACTAATGTCACAGCATTCAGACCAATTAGATGATGCAGTTAATACAAACACTTCAGAGAGGCAGCTAAGTTAGGGCTAAGTTTCTTTTGTTTGAAGTCATGTTCACCTCTAATTAAAAAAAAAAAAAAATTAAGTATCTTATTCTTAAAATAAGTGAAAACTCAGCTTTTGCAAACCATTCCCTTTCATCTTCAATTCTACTATTAGTAGCAATTCTTGTTTACAATTAACTCATTTTTAAAGCATATTAATATTTTTAGACCGAAGGTTTAAACCAATTCTAGTCAGATATGTCCATTATTCCATCTGACATTAGCCAGATCTCTTAGTCCAGTCTCTTTCCAAATCCAAGCACGCTAGGATAAGAACTAAACTGAACTAGATATATTAATTTATGGGTATTGTAGGTTGTCCTTATGCATCCTGTTTAATCAAAATCTCTAGCTAAGATAGGCTAACTCTTAGATCTGCAAGCTGGAGGCCAGCAGTCATTATAGTGACTGATAGAATTGTTTCACAAGGTTTAAATTCTATATTTGAAGGATGCAATTAAATTTACATCAGAGGAAGTACAAGATTGGCTTAGCATGTTCCTTAAGAAGTAGAGAAAGTATTATAAAACATACAAGGACAAGAAACTCTTAACAATAGAGATGACAGAATTTTTAACCTACTTCCAATAATATTTTTTTCTTTATAATCAATTAAAGAAATTTGTAAGGATCGTGACAGTCTTACCTTGCTGGCTACAAGATAAAGAAGCTCCCCAAGTGCTGGTAAAAGGCATTGTTTCAATTTGCTATTTCTGAAGTTCTCTCTGATGAGTTCAGTTAGAAGTATAAATGCCTAAAATACAAAGAAATGATATAACATGTATAATCCTTTCTCAAGCAAAATGAATCATTAAAGGTTACAGCAGCTTTATCTGAAATGCCATCAGAATGATGTACTCTTGAATTCTGCTAAACAGCCATTTGCAAAAGATTCAGTAAGAACAGAAGGAAAACTATAATTACAACACATATATATTCAACACGAACAAAAATGCAGTATGTAAATAGCCTAGGTGATAATTTGTCACCATCAGGTTACAAAAACAACAAAATGCCGTATTTTGTTTAGATATTAAATCAGAACATACAAACCCTTATAATTTTTCCTCCCCGAAAACACTTTCCCACAAACATCAGGTTAAAATCTGTAAAAACTGGATTAATGCCAGGCTCAGTCTTGAAAGCAAGAGACCATTTAGCTACCACACATTAAACTGAACAGTGTGTAATCTGGCTGGGATACAGCCAAGTCTCCAAATATACTCCCTTACATAGCAAGCATATAGCTAGAGAAGGCAGCAGAGGGGCAATCTGACAGACTGGCATCCAACATGGAAACGGGTATGAAGCAAGGGTGTGGAACTGAATTCCTCCATGCAGAAACAATTGTACCCACTGACATTCACTGACACCTGCTGAGCATTTATAGGGACCGAACCATGGATGGGAGCACAGTGAGGCAGAGGGTGGTGCATTTCAGCAGGGATGACAGTAACCTGAAAGACAAACCATGTTCTGGACAGCCAAGCGCAGCTGTCACACCACAAAACACAGTGTGTTTCAGTAAGCTCATCCACTGCTACTGTTTTTGTCACTTCATACTTAAACTTAAGAAAATTGACGACTTAAAGTTTAAGCTAAGTTATTTTCTTCCCCGTTCATTAGGAAAAAGAAAACCTGCAAAAAAGGCAGTCAGCTGTACAATAAAGTGAAGTTTTCATTTGAATAAAAGAAATGGTTTGTTGAACAGATCTGAATAAAGTCACTAACTGACTTTTGACAAAACCATTGAATCTTTGTTTAAAAAAAAAAAACTAATAAATGAATTGCATGATTTTTTTATACTGATTACTTCCATTTATTTTTCAATAAGGGATCACTTGAGTAACTGCAAGCAGACACATAACAAGAAACACGAAAACCGCGTGGGAAAGCTAATGCAGAACAAACAGTTACCACGTTACAGAGGATACTTGATACTCTTAAAGATGTTTTTGGTATTTTAAATACAAACCTATATTTACTGTAGACACATAATACCTCCTCTTTAAATTGCATACAGCCCAATGCTTGCAATGTGACCACTCTGTTCACTGAAAGCATTTGAGTAATCAAACATTACCCAAGTGCAGGATCTCACAGAGCATGTCACATACTGATCAGTTTGTGCTGGTAACCCTACTTAAGCAGCAGCTCTTCACATGTCCTCTGCAACAGAAGCTATGCAACATCTATACTACATGCACAATATAATCACATAAAATAAATTCAGAATTATATATTACTACATAAAGAATTCATTAATATATATTTTAGCGATGCATATTAAATGACCTAAAAGGACAGCAAGCATTTCCTGCTATGCTATGTACACAAATGACTTCTGTTCTTGGTAATAGTGATTTTTAACAGATTTAAAATACTTGCTCATTCTTTCACAAGGAAATGAATATAGTGTAAATAACTACATTAAAAATAAATCTGCCCAGAGATACCAGGTTAAAGTATGGTATGAACTTGAGGCAAATTGAAGTTTATTAGCTGGAAAAAAAAAAAGTTCAAAAAGCAAATTTCTGTTAATTGCACAGTCTGACAAATAAAACTTTTTCTCAGCTATATCACATTCTTTCCTTTCAACCTCTCTACATTTTCCCTTTCAATGACGTGAGTAGTAATGATCTTCAAGTCTTACATCTGCTAAAAGCATCTTAAATTCAGTATAGTACTTAGACGTCTTACAGTAGCTGTCAGGCCAGATGGATGTAGCTTTCATAACAGAAGAAAGATGCTTGGTTCATATCTGGAAAGGCAGTCACTACCTTCATTTACAACAACAAAATGTGGAGTTGGTATATTATCTGTAGCAGATTCTCAACTCATTTCAAGTTACATCTAGAATTCTCCCTGCAGTCTTATCAGTCCAAGAAGTGAAAACGACAGCATATTCAAAAGGAGGTGGTATTTTATACATTACAATTTAAGTGGCAATTTTCAGATTTACAACATTACTACATCTTTAATCTGTTAGTATGAATGTTTGCAAGCATTAGCAGAAAGTAAAAAGTTACGTTTGTAATTCTGCAAACCTTTACAGAGATTAAAAAATGTCTATGCCTCAAGCATCATGGAAATTACTCCTCTTTTTGTTCTTGCAAGACACAGTGAAACATATGCAAATAATGCCATGGAAACCTCAATTTCCTTGGAGAAAATAAGTCTCAGCAGGCTGAGAATGTACACCACACACAATAACCACGTTACCATTACCCAGAAAAGAAACTCCTTTATATTTACTCCCAAGTACCTATTTTTAAAATGAAATATGAAGAACCAAGAAGAGACCAGCATTCTCTGAACATCTCAAACACATTGCTTATTTTCCTCTCACTAAGATGCATAGGGAAAACATTAGAATATTAGAATATCCAAATATTCCTGTGATTCTCTACATTTCAGTGAAAGCTGTTCAGTGCTTGAGTGACTTGACTGAAGAGGGCAGTGACAGGACAAAAACAGTTCTGTCAAACTCTGCTTTGGGGCGCAGTAGAAGAGGAAGGAGCCTGAAGAAGCAAGATACTCTAGTTTTACAAATTTTACTTTCAATACAATACACTGGGTCACAGAACATAGAATGGCCTGGATTGGAAGGGACTTCGAGGATCATCAAGTTCCAACCCACCCGCCACAAGCAGGGCTGCCAACCTCCATATCTAATACCAGACCAGGAATACTAGAACATGAATAATGAAAGGGAAATCTGACTCAAGACTATAAACACAGTATAAATAGTTTTCAGAATGTAGAAAAAAGAAGAAATGTACAACACACTGCACAATTTATGCAGGAGTATAACACATCTAAGGTGCAGTATGCATAATGTTTCTTCAGGTGGAATATCATGTGTAAGTTGACTGAATGTGAGAAATCCTACTTTCTTGAATTTTATGTAACTCTTATAGGAAAAGGCCTTCACAAACAAATGGAGCAGCTAACCTAAAATTCAAATGCTGATTCCATTAACGCACTCTGTAATCAGCTCAAGATCCCAACTGAAAACAAGAAGACACAAGCATTAGGAAATAGCAAGGACATCCTGAAAGTAACTCCTCTCATTTTATTGTGTTAGTCCATAAGATCAAAGGTAGATGCTGGTGATATGACAGTAGTGCTTGTATGCTCCCTACAATATTCAGTTATACATTACTGCCATACAACAGATGGTAGGAGAGAGGCAGCGTGACATAGAAGTGCATCTGAAGCAAAGGTGTGGAACTGAATTCCTTCATGCAGAAAACACTACACCCACTGGCATTCACCAGCACTTACATTATATTTCTGGAGACCTGTAATGTGACAGAAAGCATAACAAGACAGCAGAATAGCAAGGTCTCAGACTAAAGCAATGGAAGATCTGCTTAGATGGGATAGCAGTGGGTACAGAAATAAAGGAAACTGCTTACCTTGGGAAGGCCTATATAGTCCCCAGAGAAGTAAGGAACTCCAAATGAGATCCCTCATCTCTACTGCCAATCCTTAAATAGGGCCTGGGAGAAGGTGGATCCTGCCTCTACCCCCTTCCAGTCACTCAGCTGCATTGCATGCACTGAGCTCCCCTGGGTTGGCTCTGCCTTGCAATGGGTGCTCAATCACTGGTCCAGGCCATGACTTTGTATTTCCACTACACGTCCAAACAGAGGACATTAGTACAGTGAAAACTGGACTGTGTGGGCACCATTTTCCTATTGATGACATCGTCATAGCAGCTATGAAGGTGTGGGTTAACACTATTGGTGCAGATTTTTATGAGCATGGCATACAGGCTCTTGTTCATTGCTGGTGAAAAATGCATAGCTACCAGTGGTGACTGCTGAAAAATAGCATCTTGTAGCTGAGAATTTTCTCTATTAAACAATGTTCTTGTGTTCTTTGTAACTGTTGTCGCTTCCATGGAAATAAATAGAAGGCAGTACTTTTGGGGGCAATCTGCCTAATTATAAATCTGTAACATTTGCTAACAAATCAAAAATGTACCAAGTCAAAAACGAGCAACAAACAAACACCACCTGTGTACTGGCTTCAGGATTTATTTTGTTTAGAAAAAGTTAGTTCTTCTCCCCCTTGTGAGAGATGTACCACAGTTTAAGATGCTCATAAGCAATTCAGTTTCCCCCACCTTTTAAGTTTGAAGCTTTTTAAGGATGGGAAGTATCACATAAATGTGTTTGCCTCAAACAGAAGGGATGTTCTGTGTTCATTTTTGCCAGTGGTAGCAATGAAAAGGATTACTCAGGTGTCCAAGATGTGAAGGGTCCTTGAATTAGGAGATTTCTCCCTTCAAAACTGCAGTCAGTGACCATCAGCTGAAGACTGACATCTAAAAATGCTTACTAGACCTCTATACATCAATCTTCACAAAAGAAGATTTGTCGGGAACATCTAAGCAAGTGGTTCTCTTTCCTTTTGTTCTCCTCATTTTTGCTTCTGCATCATTCTTTATCATTATTTACATGTTTCTACTGTTCATTTGTGCCTTTTACAAGTTTCTGGATTTTTATTCTTTTTATTAACTGTGTGCGATATACTTTGGATCATCCTTTGCTTCTGGGCAATGTGTTTATTATCAGCTTGAATTAGAAACCATGGTGAGGACACTACTGAATTTCATCAATAAAACACTCATGTAGAGATGCTTACATTTATTTATTTGTTCTACGTAGACTATGTCATATTTTTAAAAAATTATATAGGCACACAGTATTTTCTATTATTTTTCTTTGAAATTATTATTACCTT